CATCCGAATTCTGAAGAATAGAACACGCAACGGAATAGGACAAGATCAGTGCGGGTTCATTAAAGACACTGGAACAAGGAATGTAATATTTATGCTCAGAATGTTATCAGAAAAATCAATACAAATGCAGAAGGATATATACCTTTGTTTTATTGATTATACAAAAGCATTTGATAAATTACGTCACAAAGAAATATTGGAACTTTTAGGTAAACTTGATATAAAGATTTATTGCATTTTGCGTTGGAAATTCTCGTATTATACATTCATCATTAGAATTGGTTCCCAAAAATGGAAATTACTTATGACTCAGCCTAATGCATTTATATCTCACTGGTACTAATACCCGGCGTTGTGAAAGCCAATTTCCATTCCTTTGATCCGTTATTCTGAGCTGTCGTTTCTTTGGGCGATTTGCGTATGGCGGAAAATGATAACCTTCGAATTAATTCATTCTGATGTATTTTAATATTTTTGTAGACATTTATTTTATACAAGGCATGTTGTACTTTTAAAAATCTATTTCACCCCATTCAAGGAAATAAAGTCACTAAGACACAAAGAGTTGCTACTGTGTGTGAAAGAATTAGAAAACAGAAACATTTTTAAGGACTGCGTACAATAGAAGATTAATCAGAAAGACACTCGATAACGATTGACATCGATTATAAATTTTTAAAGATCGAAGTTGGCTGGAAAGTATGGAGCCGAAAGAGAGTTCCACAAGCGAGAAATGTGAGAGAAGAAACTGTTAGCATAGAACTTACGGTTACATCTAACCAATTCGACGGTAAATTGGTGAGACCTTGTTATTAATTTAGTACTGCGCATAAATTCATAAAGTCTAGCTACCAAGGTGGAAAGCACGTCAGAACAAGCACCATGGATGTATGTATAGAAAAGTCACATAAGAGCAACATTACGGCGCCGAGATGCCAGGTCAGGACCGATAACAATTTATAATTTATAACATTTAAGAGATTTTCAAAATATAACTACTGATAAAATATCAGCATTGATTGCTTGGTATTTTCACAAGAGCTGTGATCAAAATACTTAGGGAGTTACCACTTTCTGAACAAAAAATGGCTTTCTAGAAATAAGTATGAAATTTAATTATAAAAAGTATCACCGATGGCTTATAAAGCTCCCAAAAGACCCAATTGGAAATTATATTTTTAAAATTTGATTTTTGAAGCGGAATATGCAAATTAGTTATCCACTTTAAACAAGAATCGGTAAGTTGGGCTGGATCCAAGACACATGCTTTTGGATATAAATGATAAATCTTCATTTATTTGGGTTTGCAGTATTTACATACTCGTATATGGACAAACAACCGACTTTATAGATATTTGATTAATTTGCGATGTTACGAGAAGCATATACAAACAAACACATAAATACAGAAATTTATATAAAATGTCAGATGGAATATACCTGTAAAAGGACAATGGGAATAAAAACGCGTTTCGACCTCTGAGGGACTTTATCATTTATTATAAAGGTCTCAGAAGACGAAACCCGTCCGCTAAGATATATTTTCCTTTTGATTGTATTCATTAAAATTTATGCGTTAACACTTTGAGTCCTGCGTTTCTGAACAATTTCACCTCTTCTGCCTGAGCTCCTGAGTCAAAATTCGCAAATAATTGCTATGTAATGTTTCACGGTAGATATAAAAAATAGTTACAGAAAATATAAGCATTATACTTAGCAGGGAGAGAGTATGATTGCATGCCTTCACTTTATCGCCAGAATTCTTTCTTTGTGCACCAGTCTATCCAAATAAGACAACCAATAGCAAAACACGACGCAAGTGTTTACCCACCGTTCAACCGGTGGCTGGGCATTAAGTCATTTTTCCTCTACCACCATTGAACCGGCGGCTGGGCATTAAGTCATTTTTCTCTACCATGGTTCAACCGGTAGCTGGGCATTAAGCCATTTTCCTCTACCACGGTTCAACCGGTGACTGGGCATTAAGTCATTTTTCTCTACCACCGTTCAACCGGTGGCTTGGCATTAAGTCATTATACTCTACCACCGTTCAACCGGTGGCTGGGCATTAAGTCATTTTTCTCTACCACGGTTCAACCGGTGACTGGGCATTAAGTCATTTTTCTTTACCTCTGTTCAACCGGTAACTGGGTATTAAGCCATTTTTCTCTGCACCGCCTCTGTCTACCCACCTGGTGCTGCCTTTCTTGGTGCGCAAGAATAGCAAAACACGATGCAGATATTTACCCACCCGTTCAACCGATGGCTGGGCTTTAAGCCATTTTTCTCTACCACCGTTCAACCGGTGGCTGGGCATTAAGTCATTTTTCTCTACCAACGATAAATCGGTGGTTAGGGTTCAAAGATATAATATATATTATTTATGATAATACAAGATGTCCCTAAAAACATTGACATCATTTTGTAGTTTAATAAAACAGTCAATTCTTGCTCAGATGATCTAAAAGTTTAACAAAATGCGTAAAAACTAAGTTGACTGTCCGGACATGTCATTGAGAATCGACCAGGAAGTTGTGTCGGGCGTGCCAGTGATAATGACAAAGTGCTGTTGAAATGGCCACCGCGTTTACATAACATGTCATTTTTTTCTATGGGGCTATGTGAAAGGAGAGGTCTATATCCCCCCTCTTCCTACAAGCTAAGATAAGCAGAGAATCACTGAGATGCTGGAGAATGTTACGCATGACATGCCACAGCGTGTTTGGCAGGAGCTGGACTACCGACTTGACGTGTGTCTTGTCACAGATGCTTCGTATATTGAACATTTATGAAAGCATTTATAAAATCTACATCCCTTTGGATACATTGTTCGAATTTCGCTTAATAAATCTTTTATTATTCTGTAAAAAAGCCTATTTAATTTCGGTTGTCTGGGACATGTAGTTACTCAGATATTTAAATTTTAAATGATGTCATTTTTTTATTTTGTGGGGGTAACCTGTATCTAAATACACATTGGAGATATTCCATCTTAAATAAATCAACAATATCTGCAGTAAAGTTTTACTTCAACTGGAGATTCTTCTTGTTTAAAAATTGAATAATTTTATCACATTCAAAATTATGGATAAAAAATAGTGAATTTTATACAGTGTGTTTTTTTTATGACTGACCATGAGGAAAAACACATTTGCGGATTTGGACGAAAAAAAATGGTGCAAAGAATGAGGTCAAAATGTGCAACAAATTTTCATTCTTTAATACTCAGTTCTATCTCTATCTATAAAAGACAGGATGTGTGTGTGTGTGTGTGTGTGTGTGTGTGTGTGTAACGAATGGACGGCCGCAATTTTCGACGGATTTGCACCAAAATTTTCATGCACATGCTCCAAGTTAGCAGGAAGGCCAAAACCGACTTTGCATTTCCCAACTCCCATCGATAGCGGAAATAATCGATATTTTCCTGCTTCTACGGCAGTTTTCATGTAGTTTGCGGCCATTTTCTACTGGCCAGAGTGAGAGCCAATAACTGGCAGCCACGAATAGACAGGACGATTCTATTGGCAAGCGTGAGAGCCAACAGCTGACTGACACGAATGTTAACTAGCATGCAAAAAAAAATCGATAGCTGCATTCGTCACAAATGGGAAAAATTTAAATCTGCATGGCACTTTACTCCAATTGGCTCATTCGCTTGCTTAAACTCAGCGTTGATTCTGATTCCGCAGAACTGGGTTGGGTGTGAAAAAGTATTTGTTGTTAACATTCTTTTTTCATTCGGTTTTTCCAGTTACGAGTCCTTTTTTAAAGCTGATCGTTTTGTGTTCATTTTGTTTAGTTCTTTTTTCGTAACAGATTTAATGTTTAGTATAGAGCTTAGAAAAAATTCGCAGTGTGAGATAGTCAAGAAGTAAGGCATATAGCAACTTCAGCATGGCAAAGGGTATTCCTTTAAAGGCAAGGAAGGGCAAAAATAATTTAAGTCAAGTGATAGCGATTGCTGTATGATTCGTAGGATTTTTGAATCAAGTACGGGCAAGGCCGGGCCATGCTGCTAGTTTAGTTTAATTTCTAACGTATATAAATGTAGGCAGAAAAAAGAAAATGCTGATAAGGTAGCGAGGGACAAAAAGCACAGCCTGTGACCCCCAATCAAGCTTACCCCGTCCCCGTTGTGTTGTTTGGAAGTATTATGCACTGGCCCTATCACCAACTGTGCTGTGATGTGCTGTGCTGGAGCAAATCGAATACCCGAGAATGTATCTCTTCCTCTGTCAATTTTGTTATCGGTGGCTGGGTCACGGCCTGGGGTACTGTTGGGGCGCACCCACCTTCTGAGGAGAATGGACTGATCTCTCTACGATATAGGTCAGTGCTAGAGAGATCAGGGGAGATCACGAGTTCACGAGATCAAGAGATCACGAGATCAAGAGATCACGAGATCAAGCGATCACGAGATCCGGAGATCTAAGAGATCAGGTGACCATTGCACTTCCGTCTCTCGACCGGAAGATACCGTTGGACTACGTTCGTTATTACTAATTACTCTGTTGTTAAATACCTCTTCAAAAATACCAGTATATTTCCCTACATCTGTGTTTGTCTTTATTTGAATACACACATGCGGGAACACTCCCAACATCTCAACAGGTACCCAATCAGGCTTGCCTCGCCCTGTCGTAAGGTTTGGCGGTAGAACATAAGTATACCGTATATATTTATGACTACTTTTTTTTAAAGAATTTCACCATTATTTACAATGACTTGTTGCCATTTATCAGACAGCTCTTCGATATATTTTAAGAAAAAATCCGCAGATTTTGATGTTTGGCCGCAGACAACAGCCTTTTCAATCTGGTTTGCATAATAGAAATCCCTCACTTGCATCAGAGCGTTTTGCAACGATCTAAAAACGGTAATACTCGGTTGAGGCAGATGTTATTCTAAGCGTGGGCTTGCGTTGCCATAAAGAAGATCAACATTTACCCTTTTATCCACGGTGTACGCTGCCACCCCGTGCAAAACCTAAGGTATGGACTTACGGCCACCTCATGTTGAAACAACTGATCCCGTACGATCACCGAAGTTAAGAAACGTCGAGCCTGGCCAGTACTTAGACGGGTGACCACTTGGGAATGCCAGATTCTGTGAGCTTGGATGTGCGGGTGGTGTAACGGAGTATGGCTCGGAATTTCTAAAAAGAAAGAGGACACTGACATGATTCTTCATAGATAAAATAATGAAGACACTAAAAAGAATCTTTATAAATACTAAGAAAGTGGACACTAAAATGTTTTATGATAGATAAAAAGAATGAAGTCTCTAAAAAGAACCTTTGTCGATACAAAGAAAGAAGACACTAAAATAATTCTTGATACATAAAAAAATGAAGACACTAAAAAAATTTCTTTTTATACGAGAAATTACCCCCCACCCCGCATCAAAGTGTTTTTCAGCAATCAAAATGTTCTGAATCGATTGTTGCAAGATCAGATCAATATGGCGGATGGGGTTGAACAGACCAGACGACTTCCAAAATGTTTTCCTGTATTATTCTTTGTCTATGCGGACTCCATGTTGTCACGAAGAAGAAAGACATTTTTTCATTGAATCCACTATGTACGCTGCCATTGCCATGAAAAAAATTAATGTTAGTTTATTAAAAATCTATTCTCAACTGATACGCATGAATGGTATTTAGGATGATACATTAGTCTTTATGGTTGCCCCCTCCCCAACGGAAATAACATCCATCAACCCTCATAAATTTGAAGAGGAATAAAGTTGGATTATTTTCTTACCAGTTTCATTATTCTATCTGGTCTAAAGATTTTTTTATACGATTGGAGACCTTACTTATCAACCAGTCCTCGTAATTTTGAAGAGAAATAAACTTACTTTGTTCTAACTGAACTAAACACTTGAATATTGTTTTCATTAGAGCAAATTTTCTTTATCAAAGCTTTTTCCAGCGATTGAAAAAGATAACTCAATGTTGAATATGATGGATGTAATAGAAAATATCAAACAACTTTCTAAATTTGTTTGATGTATTATACTTGCTTTATATGGCTTCGTGTTGTCATGGAGAACAACATTTTTCTTTTAATCTACTGTATACGCTGTCATTGCCATGTAAAAACTAAACTACGTAAGCATCCCTCAAATTTATTCTTACCCGTCTTATTCGCTATTACAATTGCTTCCCCACAAAACAGGGAATTACTTATGAATCAGCGTAAAATTTTATGAGTTAAGCATTTCTCTTAAAAGAGCTCTTTCCAGGCCGGGTTTTGAGCAGCAATGCGAAGCGGTGTGTTCACAATCCGAATCAGCTATAGGCATTTAGGCATTTATCCGCGTGCTCACGTCGCAACAGAATGTGACATAAAGGTCGGGATTTAATGTAAGATTTTCCAGAAAGCCATACGAAAATTGCTCATGCCTCCTCGACACTTGTGGACACCTCATACGTCGAAGGAGAGGTATAGCCTAGTAAGATGATGTTAATTTCAACTCTCCCGACATAAAGAGACCAGCTAGACCTGAATCAAGTACAGTATAGCGCTTCTTTTCCATTGTTGACTTAATTTGCCATGTACCTTTAGGACATTAGCCATCATGGATCTTCACAATTTTCTCTTTTTTGTTGCTTTTAGTAAAATTTGTCTTTTTGTTATCTCTGTCAAACATTGAAATAAGTATGAATCCACCTCTTCTCCCCTCAGGTATGTTGTTTATGATGACGATCGTCTTTGAGTATAGAATCCAGAGGTTAGCAGTGAATATTTTGAAGACAGTATGAAAGCGTTGTTCGGGTTAGCAGTGGATATTTTGGTAAAAGTAGCAGAGCGTAATTCTTCATTCTCTTCCTCTTCGCCTGACAAGCTGGCACTGGACATTCGGATAGAGTAAACAAAATGGCCGCCTTTATACACGACGGATTGAATATTCTACGTCTTCTGATTGGTTAACCTTCTATTGGTGGACTATAAAGTGAGTCAAGTCATTTGGGCTAACTCAATAGTACATACATATATACGCAAAAAAATGCAACAAGCTATGGTTTAATTAGTAAGACTTGTATCACTAAATCATTATTATCTTAAAAAAAGTTCTTATAATCTAAAAATATTTTTTACTTTAAAAAAACCTGTAAAGGGTTGATAAGCCGTAAAAACCGAATCAATCAGAAATTCATTGTCAATAATGTTGCTATAGTAACACATTATAAATAAAAAATTCTTCGATTATTCATACATAAATATTCTGGATTTCGAATGTCAAAAAATAAATGAAGACAGGCTGCCTCAAAAACCAAACTAGAGACCTTCAACCATCGCCTAGAACTATTAGCAATCACGATGAACAGATGTTCTCTAAGGGAGAGCCCGTACCCTGACCACCTATTGAAATGTAAACTGTCCTCTACCATTATAAGAGCAATATCAGGCCATATATGTGCAGGAACTGCCTAGTCCTCTCTTTCCAGTCTCGATAGAGCCCCAAAGTGTCACCGCGTCCTTGTCGGTGATGAATTATTTTCTAACCCTTTTCTCTCTCTCTCTCTCTCTCTCTCTCTCTCTCTCTCTCTGCTCTTTCGCTATTTCCATGGAAAGTGTCCAGACGAACTACATTCTTCACTTCCACATTTTTCTAACCCTCACGACTAGGACCTGCCATGCTACGCACATTGTAGCGAATCACCCTTGTTCCCTTCTTAATTCATTAATGAGGTCTAAGTTCCACTCGAAGAGCTTCTTCCCACGAGCAGAACATTATTACAAAAAAAAAAGGTACAAAAACCAGCATCAACATCGCCTTGAACTATTACCAATCATAATGAACGGATGTTCCCTAAGGGAGACCCCATGACTTGAGCACCTATTGGGACTTAAACTCAACCTCGACCTCAAAGGGAACTCGAACATACGATCCACCACCAAAGATGCAGGAGAAATGATCGGTTCCCTGTACCTGACTCCTCCTAGTGGAGTACTTGCTGCTATATATGGGCAGTAGATGCTCAGTCTTTAGTTTCCAGTCTCGATAGAGTTCAGAAGCGTCTCCGTGTGCTTTTAGGTGACGAATTATGTTCCACTCTGCAATCCTTTTCATGTAGATGCAATGTCGCAAGCCTCTAACTGCTCTATCGCTATTTCTTCCATGGAACACTTGTTAGTTCCATCAGTTCTAACCATCCGACCATGCCACGCTCATTGTAGCGAACCATCCTCATTCCCTTCTTATCCACCTGGTGAGATGTAAGTTCTACTCAAGCAGAGTCTTCCCATGAACTACTACTGACTTCTAAGAGGATGCGTTCCCGATCACTACAATCTTGAACAGATTAAGTCCATGGTTAGCCGCTCGTAGCCCCTTAATCTGGAACACTCTACCTTGTGTGGCTCTTGTACAGAATGAACATTATTGTAAAAAAACTAGATTCGAAAACCAAACTAGAGACCTTCCATCATCACCCAGAACTATTAGCAATCACGTTGAACAGATTTTTCCTTAATGTTCTCATAAACCGTACTCCTTGCCTCTTATTCTTTAACACTCTATCTAGAGTGGCTCTTATGCCTTCTATACTGTGATCATTATTGTTAAAAAAATTAGATTTCCCTAAACGGGTCAGCAGTTAAGCAATAATATTATAATAATGCTGGAGTAATTGTGTTAAAAACCAGTGGTTGCATTCCACACATTTCCGCATAGGTTTTGCCTCTTACTCTGTAATCCTCTACTTCGAGTGGCTCTCGGACCCTGTACAGGGTGAACACTACTGTAAAAACAAAAACAAAAAAAGTTTGAAACCATTCGTAGATTTTTTAAAATATCCGAATTAATCAATTTTAATATTTCATCTCAGACAAACGTCTCAAGAAATTTAAAAAAAAAAAACCAGACTCAAAGTTTGATAGAAATGTTGATAAAAGCAATTTATATTCTACTCGTCAATTTCCACGTTGTTTTCAAACAAAGAACATACATTTGAATTATTGCAGTTTGGCCATGTCAGAGATTATGGCTTCCGCAATCCTCAGATGTTCGTGACAGACGTGAACCATACTTCAACGGGAAATGCAATATCTTTTTGTTTGGTCAGCAAGCAGCAAATTCATTTAACGCCTGCTGGTATGAATTAACACTCATATTACATATGGTTGTCTAATTGCAGAACAAAATATCATTTGCTAACTGACATGTCCGCTGTAGTTCTAAGACACGAGTCTTATTTTGTTATATTTCGCGAACTCATAATTCCTTGTCTATAATACGACATGAGTTTAATAATGAATTTCTGAAGTTTAAAGCAAGAAATAAATTACACCCTTTTGGATAACATGGCCACATATCAAAGCCAAGGATTCAGGCGTTGCAACTTCTAAAGAAATTTTATAATTTGAATAATTACAGAGGAATTTTGAAGCCATATCAAATAGGTTTGGCGGGGGGGGGCACTTCGGCATGGCGTAATGGTTATCAAGCTTGTCTTGCTAGAAGAATTACAACTGAGTGTGAGTTCGATCCTCATTGGGTGCCCTATACTTTCGGCCTTGTGCCACATCTTAGCTACGCTTAGAAAATCACTGCGCAACTCGACGCGGTGTAATGGCTAGCAAGCTTGTCTCGCTAGAACAATTACGACTGAGTAATGAGTTAGATCCTCATTGGGTGCCCCATACTTTCGGCCTTGTGCCACATCTAAGCTATGCATAGAAAATCACTGCGCAACTCGACGCGGTGTAATGGCTAGCAAGCTTGTCTCGCAAGAACAATTACGACTGAATAGTAAGTTCGATCCTCATTGGATGCTCCATACCTTCGGCCTTGTGCCACATCTAAGCTAAGCTCAGAACATCAATATCAGTTAGGTATGAGAGCATATTTTAAGGCCAGTGTGACCTACTTAAAACCATTGGCTAATGATTCTACCACAAAAATGGCCTTAATTTAATAATAAACAGATAAAAGACCCCAACGATTTTGTTGGAAAATTCGCTCATTAAAAATAGATTAGGGGCCCAGAAGTTTATGCTTCATTAGTTTCATAGTTGATCCGTCACTGTATATATGAGGGGGGGGAGAGAGTGAGGGAGAAAATATTGTACACTGTATCGCTGTTTTTTTTCAAACGCCTT